ACCGCACGACTTCTTGAGCCACTGTGGTGATTGCTGCGCACATAGAAACTTGCAACGTTTCGGTGTTGAAGACGCACTTGACCATGAGTATAAGGGCGAAGTCAAACTTATTGTTATGCCTATTTCTGTTGACTCCTTTCTCCTCCTAAGCCTCTTAGAGAAGAGTGGCGCATCAGAATGGAAGGCACAAGAGAAAAGTGGCGCATTAGGATGGAAGGCATACTGGTTGATCGTCACCGCTGGAATGACGAATGCGCCCTCAAACCTGGTTTATGGCCAATATTTTCAGCCTAGGGAGACAATGCGCGATTACCTGCAAAATCCTTCGGTGTGCGAGCTGGACAAATGCGAAGCCTCCATGTGTTATTACACATGAATCAAAAATGACGCTAGAGAATTGCCCTGGTAAATTTTTTCGTGATCTTCGCGATTCAGCGCAAAAACGCAATCGTTGCGGACCCTGGAAGTCCAGGTGTTTCAAACTCCGGCTATGAATAAAATGATCATGTTCAAATGATCAAAGCATAGTTATCCTCTACAAACGGGCGACAGTAGGACAAATAAACAATTAGATGAGAACACATTCATTTCTCAACTATCCAGTACACCTCCAATATAAGAAAAACGCGTGCATGAAAATGATAGAAACCATCAATGGTATTGTCTAAGCTAGTTATGATGACTAAATGCACTGAGCTTTAATGGAGGAGGACATCAAGCGTATGGCTACTTTGTTTCGTGTCCTGATACAGTTTTCTCTCAAATGCTTCGACTGAATCGTCCACAAACCCGTAAGAGAACGCTACCTGAATGGTTGAAAACATATATGGATGGAGAGACGTAGCTAATGAGGGAGGCTAAGTGTTAGGGCTTCCGTAGATGTGTGCTCTTGAACAATCAACGTGATTTTTGGCTTTGAAGCAGCGTTCAGACTTCGCGACGGCAGCGCTTCGGTCGCGCGATTCGACGATCGATGCGCATGCTTTCGACTGCATCGATCGCGTCGAATGCGCGACCGAAGCGCTGCCGTCGCGAGGTCTGAACGCTGCCTAATCACCCGTTCAATGTACTTTTCCTTTCTCGTTTCCTATATCACGATGCGGAAATTTATGAACTGTTCGATGAGGCACATTGTACGTTGGGGATCTCCAGCAAAAGGGGCCCTATTTGGTCGCTGGAAGAAGAGGGAGATCATATTCACCATTGAGCAGAATGTTTCTGTTTGATGACTTTCTCGGTTATCTTTCGGTTTTTCTGTTCCGAAAGAGCTATATAGTCTCTCCCTTGGCGGTTGTTTTGATGGACAATGTAGAAATTTTCGGAAACACTAGTAGGAATAGTTGCAGGACATCATCCTTGGGGATTCCCCAACAGGGGGGGGGTCATACTTGGTTGATGAGGAGATATTCAATATCGATATTCCTTGAAGTTAACCCTGTTTCACATGTGCTGTATACCCCTCCACGGCTCGACAGCTCCATCCTATCAGATATCGGGAAGAGGGAACCGGGGGCAAAATTTCCAACCAATAATGTGCCCTGCGCGGAAAAAGGATAAGGAAGGGGGCGGGAGGTGTACGGTCGGAACAGAGAGGAGAAAACCCTTGTAGGGGTGCGTTCTGCCGGAAATTTTGCCCTGAAATTGCAGTAACTCTGCCCAGTCACAGCGCTGCAACCTCACAAGCACTAGCTGACACTAGGCCATTAATAAGGTAAAGTAATGCCCCCAAGCCGCCCCCAAAGGTGGCAGAGGAGGCCTTGCAAGCTCACGGCTCTTCGTACGTAGTGGATCCTCAGCGAGATGGGTCTAATTCGCTAGCTAGAGGGAAGCGGTTGTACCACAGAAGAAACTTATGAGGAGAGTCGTAATCAGCAGTAATTTCCCCAAACGGCAGGACGGCACCGTCCACAGTGATCATCTGCCGTCTGCCAGGCATCGGCCTATTGCGACCTAGATGTGAAAAGTCCTGAATGGAAGTCGTCGTTACTAACGTGTGTCATAACTAGACCCACGTTCTTGATAATTCTCAACAAGGCCTGCCTTAGAGGTCCTGTGTCGTCACAGCCAGGGTGAAGGCCTGCCTTAGAGGTCCTGCGTCGTCACAGCCAGGGTGATATGAGTACTGGGAGAAGAAAAGCGCTACTTGAAGTTTCTACCCACGATGCAACACTGTGGGTGAGTATGGGAGCCATCCGGGTCGACCAAATATTTCGTACCGTTGCAGTTGCTCAGAAGAAATCCCGCGACTACTCAAAGATTTGAAAATCCACCTCTTACAAGTATCGGAATCTAGTGGGAATTTAAGGCAATCTCTACAGATTGTCACCTTTCCATTCACATCGCACATGTCCGTTATCGAGACCTTCACACTGTCATGTTGTCCAGGTTTCAGCACACCAGCAGTAGGTCTTGCCGTGAGATAATCGCACATATTCGTCTGAATAGAAAATAATTGGCCGGTTCATGACACAATGCAAATGGAAACTGCTGAAATGGAGTATTCAGTAAGTTACCGCCTACTAGATACCCAATTCAAACATAATTACAACCATGCTGCATTGCGTGCAAAACACGGGCAAGAACTTTCTCCATAGTCGCTCACCCGAAGTGACCAAATGATGTTTTTCTGGGATACATTCGATACTGTAACCCTTTTCCATCGCTTGTGGCCAAATCGTGGAAAGTCCAGCTGAAATTAAATGCGCCCTTGCTCGTCAGGTGGACCAATAGCAACACTTAAACATACCGTAAACATCGGATTGGTAACGAGATCCGCACCAGAGGGCGCTGGTTCGCAAATAGACGATATCGACACCGTGGACTGAATCAGCAATTGCATATTTAACATGTCTAGTGACGGGAAAGGAAAATTGTAGCGTTCAGGTCGTGGGGATGTTCCTAGTGGTAAGGCGAGATCATCAGACACAGGGATTGTGGTCGACATAATCTCTGAAGTTGATCCCGAGCTCCAGCTGATCTCGCATTCACAGTAATGTCCCTGCGTACGTTTTTGACTGTTACTATGAGTAGGTTGCACGGTGGGTGGGGCTGGGCTAATGAGAGGAACAAACCACGCCGTCGCCACTCGGTTTTCGGAGGGGTTTTCGCCAAGGCGGTGCAACCGCTGCCACTGCAGATCTGACTACTTGCTCGCAGAGTTAGAGGTACAGTCTGCTCAGCTAATAGCCGAACGTGCCCTCAAGGCTTCTCCGATCTAGCACTCTTTCAATACCCCATCAGCATCTGCGGATATCCTTTGCCAGATAGTGACTAGAATGCGTAGATGGCGTGTTTTCTGAATTCCCCGAACGAGCCGAGCTCGACCCCAGTGACGCTTCTATTCGTCTGGAATCACCTGGGAGGGAGGACGCCACAGTTCCTTTATCAGCTTGCTCGAAAATCGTTGTAACCACCGGGTACGCAATCGGTTTATACTTCAGTGACTTCGGTCCCTGATCAGCGAACCTACTTCTCGTTCAGCAGATAATGGTAACCGTGGATGGTAAAATTTTCCGGTGAGGTATTCCAGTCTGTGATTGGCCGAGTGAGCTGTTCGGGATCCCCACTCAGGGGAACATGTATTAATGTAATTCCACCCCCTGTGATGAAATTTTCACTGTCACTAATCAAGCCTGCACATATCGCCCATCGTTTATTGTTCATCTGTTAGAAACATTAAGCGAAGACATGTATCAAGAATTGTTGAAAGTTCTAGCAATCTTGATTGTACAAAGGGTTCAACGAGTTCAATTTGAGTAGACTTGATTAGTAATCTGGAAAATTTCAATCGTTTTGGTCAAGAAATAAGTGTTTAAGATACTGCAAGGTGTGGTTCTACGCATGCACATCGTGGCGAATGCGCCGACATAATGTCGCGCGCGCGTCATTTGCACCAGAGCCCGACCGATTCATCATGGCCATGTTGCAGCCAGTCAGAAAACCAGCTAGAAAATACTCCACTAATTTGTACGCAGTGTTGCGACCAAAATCTGCTATACACCAGAACAAGGTCTCACTTCACCCCGAGGACTGCCCCTCCCCTACTAGCTGGCAGCTCGAACTAAATTACCCTTAATGCTGTAAAATAAGCTTTGGGGAAAACGACTCAGTAGGTAAGGTAGAATGCAAAGGGGGGGGCCTCACACCAAAGGGAAAAATTAGGGAGGAGGGTCGTAGTTCATAGAAATTTCCCACAACGCAATGATTTGGTCTGTTCTCATCCCCATATTGATACCCATGTTGGAACGACTACACTATTACTGATACCTCTGGGATCTATAGGTGGTTATTTACTGGTTGCCGATGCAAACATTGGGAACTCTTGACGAAATATATTCGTAAGTAAGACCAGGTTGCAAAAGGTCAGAGGTTGTAATGGTTCTGTTTTGTTTTTCAAATCCCATATGACAACCGACTACACATTACTGATTAAATAACTACTTAAATGTTAAGTAACAAACCTTAACCGTTCTGGTGTCAATTGTCGGTAGTGATCGAGTTTGTGAAAGTTTCGCAGTTGAGTCGAGATCATGCCAGTCACCATACGCTTGGCGCATTTTCACAGTTTCATCTGTAGACGTGGCAGTAGAAATTTGCGTGGAATTACTGCTTGGCCGTTGAGTGTCGTCTGGTATTGGTGAATCCTGCGTAGCCCGGCTTACACCTTGCCACGGGAAGAACGGTGTATTGGCCAGGACCATTGATGTTGAAGTGAGCGTATGCTCTTTCACGCTATGGAACCTCGTGAAATCTTCCTGAAAACGCGTTTTTTGAAGCTCACAGTGGACAAGTCTCGTGACCTGGCCAAAACTGCACAGCCCGATCCACTAACTCAATGTGCAGCCAGGCCTATAGTCATGAACTCCTTATTGGTGCTCGTCTCGTTCCACCACGGAGGGTGGCAGCGCTAGTAAGGAAGCTATAGACCTGACTCCACCATAAATGTACAAATGATTGCGCCTTCAAATTCGAGAAAGAATTACCTGCGTTGGGATTTGTCTGTGTGAAATCCATAATGGCATCCTGGGAAGTTGACACTCTACGTTGAGTAGGAATATCATCAAGTACACTCATTTGCATGCGGGGCAGTTCAAGATTCACACCTCTCCATCGTATCACTTCGAGGCAAACATATTTTTACCCGCATATGATCTGAAAATATTAACGATCAGGCTCCCGAGGCTCGACTCCGAACTTCTAATACGAGGCTGATATGAACATTCTAAGAAAATCCCTGCAGTGAGCTCTACTCTGAGTTAAAGGATTGAAAGGTGTGTCAAATATACGTGCGTGCAGAAAGCAATATTGAGCAAAGGCTGGGCTCTCGTGCTCTCATCCCCTCGCTCACAATCGCTTATCAGCGCCTTGCACAATGGTATGGCCGTAGCAAGTACAAAAATCGGGAGGGTGTGAGGACCGGCTAGACTGCGTTCAACTCTGGCGACAACGTCCGATCCAGCGACCAATCGGCGTCCACCAGCGCCCAGCGTCCTGTCGGCGTCAGCGACGGGAAGGAGACGGATATCGATTCTTGTCTGCCAAGCGCTACTAGGCACCAGCAGCGTCTGAAAGGCTAAGTAAGGGAAAGGTACTACTTAGAGCTTGCCAGCATCTACCAGCGTCTACCAGCGATCAGCAGGGACCGCGAGTGGAGTGTATGGGGCGATAGGAGGGTTAACCCATAGATGTTCAGCCTCTACCCCCCCCCCCACACTCTCTACCAGCAGTCCTGCGCTGGACCGCTGAGGACCTAGCAGGCGCGTGTCAGACGCTAGATAGCTGTCCATACTTTCCGGCGCAGTTCGGCGGGGGGCATTTTGTACTTCCATTGCTTCCTTAGTTCCGGTTTACAAGTCTCACTCTGGTGAAACCTGTGAACTCTTGTGAAGCTGGAGCAAGGTCGTCAAGCCATCATGGTAAAACCTGTCAATTCCGGAAGAGGCTAGGGTCGACGAAGTAACAAAAGTGCAAGTGCGCCCTCCCCCGTCGCCGCACTGCGCCCACTTTCCTTGTCGCTTATGCTAACGGACGCTTGGGATGCTGGTGGACGCTGCCGCAAAGTATGAACGCGGCCTTATCATTCAAAGTTCGCATCATTCACTTTTGTTAGGTGGTGTGTTGGGGTAAGCAGCACGCACTACGCGCGAGGCCTAGGATCAGATCCCCAGTCAGTTCTCGCCAGAGGCAACCAAGCCTTCTGCCCCCAGCAAGGGTAAACTGGTACCAAATTCGTCTGGAACGCTAAAAACATCGGCATCAATATCAATGGGCTATCTCAAGGGATGCTACGTAGGACATATTCATTGCAGTATCACTTGGTTACGGATGAATGGTGAGTAAGTGGTGCATCCTGCAAAAGGGCGTGACCAAAGACGGAGCTTTATCCTTTATCATTCAGGTATCGAACAAAGATCGTATCAATCAGACCATTACCAGTGAAGCTTACATCGGATCAAAAGCTTTATACTACGGGGACAAGAGAATCGTAATACGCCGCGCTGGTGGGCGGGGTCAGCGACGCCACTTCCGCGGGACGAGTTGTCCTGCCTGGCCGTTTCGATCCGAACGGTGAAGGGACGGCAGAGATCGATACCATCTGCATGGTGTGTTGCCTGCGCTTGAATTCACATGGGCTTCACTGCTTCAATAGAGAACTGAAGCCAATCGTTAACAAGTCGTACCGTCTCGCGGTTCGATGTGCGGCGAGCGGCACGATACACGATAGGTACGATTCTCTTGTCCGTCCCCCACGTGG